TAATGATTTTGGTTTAAGCAGAGCATGGTGACAAAGATGAAGAGGAATCAGATGATAATACAGAAGATGTTGCAAAGTTTGAGGAGGAGGAAGGGAACGAGAATGATGATGAGGAGTGATGCTGTTTCTGTTCTTGTTTCCTCACCCTCATGTTTATTCTAAAATAACTGATTTTGTTGGTCTGTCTACTTCTCTCCATTCCATGAACTTTCTTTTTGGATGGATTTGGGCTTCTTTGGTTGAACTTTGTTGGCTTGTATGAACTACTAACTCTGCTATGGTATGAACTGTTTGACTAATCTCTTTTTGCAGCATAATGCTTGAATGGTGGTTGATGCCATTGTATGGATAAGCACATTAACTTGTGCACATTGCTTTTACTTGTGGATACTTTTTAATGATGCCAAAAGGGGGAAGTAGTTTGAAGTTGAAGCCTAAGGTTTAGCTAGTTTAGATTGAGTCAGTTTGAGGTTTAGCTAGTTTAGATTGAGTCAGTTTGAGTCTTTTTATTTCGTATTTTCTATTTTCTGTTTAGGGGACCAGTTAGCCTAACTGACTTGTTCCAAAGAGTTTTGAGTCCTTGAAGTTTTTGACGGTTTTCTTTTTGAGCATGTCCACAGGTTCAAGAACTTCAAGAGTTTGTCATCATCAAAAAGGGGGAATTTGTTGAGTCCCTTAGGTTTTGATTGATAGTTTTGAATGATGACAAACAGCTAAGGGAAACAGGTCTTTGAAAGTGTTCAATACAGTTGGGGGAACCAACTAAAATAGAACACTGTTTTCCTAGATAAGTTATTGATTATATGAGTTATCTATTGAACTAACTTATCTATATACAGGAAACAGCTAGATGATAAATGTGCTATGTACTGGTGGGGAACCAGTATGAACCGTTTCCTTGACTGCTATGCGGAAAAGCAGTCACATACTCTTTATTGTGCATTAACCATGTTACATGTGCAGTAGTTGAGTTGATTCCAAGACTTGGAGCATAGAAGCCTTTCGAAGATATTTCGAAGAAAGATTGTTTGCTCATAATAGAAGTATTCAAGGAAGATTCAAGTCTTGAAGATTACATGAAGAAAAGACGATTTATGCTTTAATATGTTATCTAGGTTTTCATGTAATATGCTCCGTAGTATGCTTGCATGTTTGGGTTATATAAGTGCTTAAAAGTATATTGAAGTATGATATGAAATCTGGTACAAAGTTGGAACAGGTTTCATAACATGTTTCAATTCAGGGAACCAGGTCGGGGAACCAGGTTCACTGTACGAAATATTCGAGCTGCCGTTTTGGAAAAAGATTTTACAAAAAGATTTTTTCGAAAAGATTATTTTGAAAATATTTTGTGCAGCTGGAAATAAGATGAAATATTCTTGGTTACCAAAAAACTAGGAGTATTTATCTTAATTGATTCTATCTTTGTGATTAAATCAAATAAGATAAATACTTTCCTAAAATTACAATATATCTTATTCTCTAAGATTGTGTGATTTAAGGAAACTAGGTTTTAGGAATCTAAGCTTATATAAACTCATCTTATTTCACATATTTCGTGTGCCTCTCCAGAAATTAAAAGAGCAATTATTTGAGAGCATATACTTAAGCACTAATCCCATTCATCAAGTTATATACAAGAGCATTTTAGTACTTAAACTTTTTCTCTTAATTAGCTTCGTAGAAGTGAGATCAAAGGAGAGTTCTTGATTCTTGTATTGAGTCTTTAACAAAGGGGTTAAAGGCTGGGTGAGTGTTTGTGAGTTCAAACACATTGGGCTTACGAGTGTAAGTCGAGAGCACACTCGGAGTAGAGTGTGGGGTTTGCTGGTTCCTGGAGTAGGGAAACAGCAGAGTGTTCTTTGTCTTTGTTTTTCAGAGTAGATTAATAAAGAACTTAGGATAGGAGGACGTAGGCCTGAGTTGGCTGAACCTCGTTAAATTTGTTGTGTTCTTTATTGCTTATTTATATTCCGCTGCGTACGGGAACCAGCACAACTGGTTCCTCACACATAATCCGAAAAGAAGCAAAATTAGCCAACGATTACTTAACACTCAATTCACCCCCCCCCCCTCTTGAGTGCCCATTGAACCTTCAAGAGCAGAACGAGATGGGAACAAAAAAGGAAGGAGAGATGAGAGCAGAACGAAAGATGAGAGAGAATGGAGATGAGAGATTAGAGTAGAACGAGAGATGAGAGAGAACGAGAGTAGGGCAAAACCAGAGATGAGAGAGAAGGAGAGCAGAACCAGAGAGAGAGAGTGAAATAGAGAGGCGGATGAGAGAGATATAACAGCCTGTTTTTTTTAAAAAAAAATTTTGCACCAGTTTGAACCGTTGCTAAAACACTATTTCGCACCGGTTTGGACTGAACCGGTGCGAAATCCCTTTCTCCCTTATTTTTATTTTTTTTTCTCTTTTGTAATTCGCACCGGTTTGAACTGGTGCAAAAAAGATGATTTCTCACCGGTTTAATAGGAACAGGTGCGAAAAGTCTTTTCCCCAATCCCGCCCATTTCTTTTACCACCGGTTTTCAAAAACCGATGCAAAAAGTGCAGTGCCTAATTCATTTTTTCTACTAGTTGAAACAGCAATAATTATATGTGATGACGTATCAATGGCTGTCAAATCTAATCTGGAATCTTTAGATTTATTGCTTCGGGATATATGTGGTGACAACATCTATTTGGAGGGAAGGTGATTGTTTTTGGTGGAGATTTTCGGCAAGTCTTGCCTGTGGTCCTAAGAGAATCACAAAAAGAGGTTGTTGAAGCAAGCATTGACAGTTCATATTTATGGTCTAAGCTGATCAGATTTAAGTTAACTGAAAATCAAAAGGCTAGAAAAGATCTTGCCTTTTCTGCTTTCTTACCTGCTTTGGGTGATGGTCAGTTGCAATCCACAAAGAGTGAATTTTATAAAGTTGCCAGAATAGATAGCAAGGCCAATGAGCTAGATCCCACAACCTTCACAAAAAGGGCAATGTTAACAACTGTAAATGATGATGTTGATACAATTAATTCATTTGTCATAGAATAATTTCCAAGATAACTAGTTGTGTACAAGAGTTATGATGTACTTCTTGATGACAATTGCAATGTTTATCAAATGGAATTCGTAAACACAATATATCCAGGAGGTATGAGCCCTCATGAACTTGTACTTAAACAAGATTGTCCGGCAATATTGTTACGGAACCTACTTCCTTCTTCTGGTCTATGCAATGGCACGCGACTTATATGTAAAACGTTTTACCCAAATCTGATAGAATGTGAAATTGCAATTGGACACTATCAAGGAGAACGTGTCTTTATCCCTCGGATGAGGCTTCAGCCTTCACCGTCTATGAAATATCCTTTCAAATTTCACAGGAATCAGTTTCCATTAAAGTTAAGTTTTGCTATGACAATAAACAAGTCACAAAGGGCAAACACTAGATCAAGTATCAATTTATCTTCTGCGCCCTTGTTTTTCACATGGACAGTTAATGTGGCACTTTCTCGTGCACGAACATCTACAAAGGTCATTGTTATTTCTACGATGCCACCATCCCAGTATTCAGAGACCGCTGTTAAGAATGCAGTGTCTTATGTAGTTCTTAAATTAGCAGGCATAGCTTAAAATTCTTCTACTTGAACTAGGTAAACATGTATATTCTGCTTAGTATACAAGTTAGATGGTAAAAAAATAGTTTTTGACATTTCTAGTAATTGATTGGTGCAGGACATTGGCAAATAGCAAATTGCAATCATCAACCTATCAAATTTTACATATATGATTTAGTAGACAGCATTGATGTGTAAGTTTTCTTTTATTACTTTTTTTCCCCCCGATAGGGATTAGTTTGCAGGTTGATATAAATTTATCAGTTTTAATCATAAGGATGCTAAAATTATAAATACCTGAATTCTAACCTCTTTAGAATGAGTAAATCTCTGTTTCTCATTGTCAGAAACATAAGTGTTTCTCATTATGGCATTTCTGAAATTAAATTGATGTTTTTCACTTCCTGAGATGCTGACTCAGATTCGCCTATGTGTCAATTTGCTGAGGTGGTTCTGAGTGGGGACATCCTTGTGTCAATCTGTTTAATGGATGGCGTTACATTCATGAGGTTAGGCGGGAAAATATTCACACATCACATTTGCACACCATCTTTACACATCTTTGAGTTGAATAGCTTCCAGACCCAGTTAAATTAGCAAGTAGTTTTCTGTTCTCTTTCTTCGTCGCTTCTTCCAGTCGTGAGTTTTGTTCTGTTCTAGGGTTTTCATGCGGCAACATTTCAATAAATTGAGTTCATAATTGAGACCGAAATTAGAATAATTTTGAAAGTAATGGTATTATGAGGTTGAATGCCTTTGTTAAAATGGGTGGTTTGAGGTTGCTAGAAAATGGCCGGATGAATTTGTTGAAAATGTAATTTATACTTTTTGATAATGTGTTGTCTTCGAATGCTTTGAAACAAATCCCTCTTTTAATTTTTGAAAATTGGTTGTATTACTTTCTTGGTTGTTCAATTGGTTGGTTGATTTGTGTTGGTTGTTTGTATTTCTGTGTTGGGTTGAATTTGTGCTGTGTAAACGTGCTGGTTGGTTGATTAAGTGGTTTAATTTGTATTGTAATTATGTTGGTGTTCTGTATCAATTTGTATTGTAATTATGTTAGTGTTCTTTATTTGAAGGGTGAATTGTTTTTGATAGAGAAGACTGCTATTATGACTGATATTAGGGAAATGGAAATTGAAGGCGTTATTAGGGGCAGTGAGGTTGGTGTTGGTGATTGTGGCAGTGTCGTTAAGTTTAGGAGTAATATTGATATAGAGGAGGAGGAGGGTAATGATATGGAGGGTATAGAAGACATAGTTGTTGCAGATAGTTGTCCTGAGGGTGTTGGTGTGCAGTTGGTGTAGGTGCAGTTGACATGAATGCGAATGTTAGGTGTTTATCCCCCGTGAAAACAATTCATACGACTCACACTATGGTTGCTAGCTACGAAATGCGTGTAGTTTTTGAGGAGCCTAAGGAAGGGATGGTTTTCCGGTCTTCGCAAGAGGTTGAAGCCTACTATAAGGAGTATGCTCAGCAAATGGGGTTTGGAGTGTCAAGGGTTCAAAGCGTAAATTCTAAGACGGCGGACAAATAAATAATTGCAAACACGTGGAAGTGTGAGTGTTGGGGTAAACCCGACATGAGGGCTTGGAGGGAAGCGAAGAAGAAGGCAAAGGCAATGGGTGTTGGAGGTTTAGGTGGTTTAGTTGATGGGTGGTATGTGAGGATGAGTTAAGTCAAAGGAAGAGGACATCGAAAAAGTGTGAATGTGAGGCCCGTGTTTATGCTAAAGTTAATGAAGATGGCATATGGGTATTGAAGACCGTGCACTTAAATCATAATCACAAGATTGATCAGGCAAATTCTAAGCTTGTGAAGGAGTACCGCATGAAGCAAATGACCTCAAAAGGGAAGAAGAAGTTGATGGATTTCTATGAGCAAGGTGTACCAATTTCTCAAATACACGGTTGCATGGTGATCGAACGAAACGGTAACATGGCTCTCACCGTCAAAGATTTACAACATGAGGTGTACAAGGCTAGGCGGTTGAAGATGGTTGGAGGGGACTCGGTGGCAGTGATGGAGTACTTTGAAAAAATACAATCCGGCAACCAAATTTTTTTCCATGCTCAATGTTTGGATGAAGAAGGGAGGCTTAAGAATGTTTTGTGGGTGGATGCAAGAAGTAGGGTAGCTTATGAGGACTTTGGTGATGCGGTTTGCTTCGACGCAACATACCTAACAAATGAGTACGAGCTCCCATTTGCGAACTTTGTTGGTGTGAACCACCATGGGCAATCATTGTCTTTGGGATGTGCTCTTGTTTCACATGAAGACTGCGATACGTTTGCATGGATATTTCGACAGTGGCTAGTTTGCATGAACAACCGAGCTCCTAAAGCCATTTTGACCGACCAAGCGGCAGCTATGCGGAGGCCCCTAGCTGAAGTCATGCCAAACACGGTTCATCGTTGGTGCATATTGCATATCATGAGTAAGATCCCTGAGAAACTTGGCAAGTGTGCATGGTATGTTGTGATATTCCTCCTACCTTATAAATTTAAATTTGCTACATTATAAAAATCTGCACATAAATTTAAATTTGCTATGTTATACAAATCTGCACAAGGGGGTCGGGGGGTTGAATAGGAGAGGATAACAACTTTTCGCAAATCTCAAGGTCTTGAGATCAGTTTCATAGGTAGAATAAACTGATTCACTTATTAAAACAGAGGCTTTGAAATTCAAGTCAAAGTTGATAGACAGGCTTTTAACTTTTTAACTGATTGTAAAATTGCGAGCTAAACTGCTGTTCTGCTCTTATGTACTCTAACGTTGCTTATTTTTATCTAGTTACCAAGAGTTCATCAAACCCCTCAAAGAGTTTGTGTATGAGAGCTTTGACCCCGAGGAGTTCCATACCCGATAGGCAGAGTTTATAGCTGAGTATAAGTTGGAGGACAATGAATGGCTACAGAGCCTACACAAAGAGAGTCGTATGTGGGTGCCTACTTATATAAAAGAGTTTTTTGGGTTGGTATGAAGACCACACAAAGGGTGGAGAGCATAAATCAGTTTTTAAATGGCTATGTTAACCGCAAAACCAAACTACATGAGTTTCCTCAAAAGTATTGCATGGCCTTGGATCAATGAGTTCGAGATGAAGTGAGTTCAGATAAGCGTTGCTCGAAGTACCTTATGAGGTTGGTTAGTGTCTTTAAAGTGGAAAAAATATTTCAAAAGTTATACACGGACAACAACTTTCAAGTAGTTTAAAAGGAGTGTACGAAATGATGTATTGCAACGTCCAAGGAGAGAAGGTTTTGTCTGAAAACCTTATTCAGTATTTGGTGGTCGATCGTGTATGGATAGTACCTCCCGGTGCTAGTGAGGATGTCATTACAGATAGGAGAAGAACCTACATTTTTACTTTCTTTCCAATGACAAAGGAGGTGCAGTGTGACTGTAGGAAGTTTGTGACAAGTGGCATACTTTGCAAACACTGCATTAGGATTCTCGATGAAAACTTGGTTGAAGATCTGCCAAAGAAGTACATTGTAGCCCGTTGGCGGAAGGACATACCCCGGAAGCACACTAGGGTGAAGGTGGCCTACCATGATCCGGGCGACACGGTCACTGTGAAGAGATTCAACAAAATGATGGGAAAATTTGAGCCCTTATGTGAAACCGCTGCCATGGTGGATGATCAAACGGTCCATATGGTAATTGAAACACTGTCGAAGCTTCAATTAGTTGTTAATGAATGTAGGGACAAGAAGAGTCGGGAGAATGCTCCTGTAGTTCGTACACTTTCATTAGCGGGTGAAGACAGAACGATTTACTCAGTTAGGAATCCTGCTCCTACTGCTCCTACAAAGCCCGGAGACCCCTGTCCAGCTGCCATGGACCCTGCTATCAAAGACCCTATAATTAAGAAAAGGAAAAGGGGCAGGCCCTAAGGGTTCAAGGCACAAAATGTTAGCTGAAACTGACTAGAAGAACACCAACAACAATAAGAAGCCTAGTCCTGTTAAGATTTATGCTTTGTTCTTTGTTCAATAACTGCTTATCCTCTGATTATTTTATTCACTCTCTGACTGCTATTATATCTATATCATATAGGATGTAGGAGATGATGTTGGTGTTGAGGAGGATGCAGGTAATGGTGTCGAGGAGGATGCAGGAAATGGTGTTGAGGAGGATTCTGGAAATGGTGTTGAGGAAGAAATGGTGTTGCAGGAAATGGTGTTGAGGAGGATACAAGAAAAGGCAAGAATGGCAGAACTAGGTAAGACAAAGGGGAAGGGCATTCCAATCACGGGGAAGGCAAATATGTCTTCTCGAAAGCTACTTGTAAGCATGAATACCAAATTTATGTCATTCTACGTCAGTGATTATTTATATCACATTTAACGAATGGCCGGTGAGTGACCATTTAAGTTTGTTGCACATTGCACCTCAAAGATGAAGCAAAAATGTCTTGATGTAATGGCCGATGAGTGACCATTTAAGTTTGCTGCAGCAAAGGTACTATCATTTAATTGAATATTAGTGTGATTGGTGATTCCATATTGGTTACAGCCGTTAAATTAATGTATTCTGAATGCAGACTCATGTTTAAATATGAAGACTCTGAGCATAGAAGAAACAGATTTTACGGGAGCATATGAAGACCGGTTATTGTGTGAGCCTGTTGTTTGGTTTGTATCGAGACTTATCTTTGGAAAAATAGACAGATATTGTTTGAGTATGACAAATTTCCGCAAATACAAATCTCAGGATCATGAGATCAGTTTCCAAGCAAAAGATTCAATAAATTGATTCAATTCAAAGCTTTGAGATTCAACTCAAAGCTTGTAAAACTAGTGAGTTAAATTGAAATGTGATTATAAGCATTTGAAACATGTGTAACAAAATCAACAATGTGATGTTCAAAGAAAGTTTATTGGGTTAGAGTATGACAAAATTTGCCAATATGTAAAAACAAAAGCATAGCATTTGCAAACATGTTAAAACAAAAGCATAATAAGAACAATCAATATGCTCAAAATAAGTGGCTCCATTACAAAAGACATGGTAGTGTCAAACCCCAAAAGATGATCTGTGAATTGTCACACACCAAAAACTACCATGACATTGTAATCCTAATATAAGCAACTAAAATTCAGAATAAACTTAGAAAAAAGCTTTACAGTAGAAGTTTCTCACAACACAAACCAATAAGCTGCACCCCCCCCCCCCCGCCCTCCCAAGACAACCTACTGCTCCTTGAAGAGTAATGGAAACCCATTAAAGTAATTAGTCATATCCTTGTTGAACCAAGCACGGAGATCCCGGTCGTTGTTGCAGACGAGATCATTGAGAACCCACTCATAGACAGAGGCCATGGGCCCATGAAAGGGTTGGAGGTTGGCCAAGTGACGAGTGCGCCACCACAGCCTCCACTTCTTGCAGACCTGCTTTACATTCCCCCGACTCAGCCAGTCGACCTTGGAGAAGATGTGGATGCAAAGGAGGTCAGGGTTGCTGAAGATGGGGTGGGAATTTGATAAAGCGTCCATACCTGGCAAAATAAAAACCAAAACCCCGTATTTCAGTACCTTCACACCCCAGTAATGGCGAAATGAGGAAGATCAAGACAAAAAACAGGAAAATATCAGACACAATATAGCACATGCAGAAAAATAAGCATGATCAACCAATTTTCTAGACAATTCCCCCAAATTAATTTATGCAGTCATGATTAGGATCAGCCACCCACAACAACAAAGAACCATTAAAAAAAACAAATTATAAAAAAAAAAAATTGGCCGAAAATCAAAAGCCCCATAATTCAATACCTTCAACCCCATTTATGGCGAAATGAGGAAGATCAAGACAAAAACCAGAAAAATACCATTCACAATATAGCACATGTAGAGAAATAAGCAAAACCAAAATATAAAAAACAAAAAACGGAAAAAAAAACCCATAATTCTTTACCAAAAACCATTAATGGCGAATTGAGGAGGAACAAAAAATAGGAATATACCTTCAGGAGAATTCAGTTTTTGTAGTTGGTCTTGGTTAGATTCTCTAGCAAAATCCCGTAATAATGGCGATGCGTGAAGAGGGAAGGAAGAGGTTTTTTTCTCTTTGAAACAAGTATGATCTTTTCTGAAAAGTAAATTGGCGAGGAAGACGAAATAAAAAGGGGGATGGAATATGGAAAGCCATTAACCTTTCCAATTCTCGCGCTAATCTGCTGAAGGAAATGATGTCATTTCGATTTTCGATGCCAGCTTTTTGTTTAAAAAAAATTATAAAATCTTTCCGTTTACCTTTTTTTTTTTTAAAAAAAAAAACCTTTCCATATATTTTGGTTTTTTAGTCTTAAGAGTTTGACAATTAGATTTTAATGCTTAGATTTTCGATGCCAGCTTTTTATTTTTTTATTTTTATTTTTATTTTCAAATCTTTCCATTTTTTCTTTTTTTTATACATATTTTTTTATTTTCAAAAACTTTCCACATTCTTTGGTTTTTTTGTCTTTAGAGTTGGATAATTAGGTTACCTTTCCTAAGATTTGTCCCATTTGTCAGATTTAAGCTAAAGGAAGGATTAATATCGTAGGGTATACTAAGATCATCAACGACAATCCCAAATTTAAGTCTTTTAAGAAGTAGTAATCATAAATTGATATAGAGTATTTCTTTATTTATTAATTCATACAAAATATTACTCTCTTGTTCAAATTGGCATTAAGATTTCATTCTTGATACGTAAAGTAATCTTATGTAAACTTGCCTAAGGGAGAGATTATTAAATATTCGGGAAGTTGTTAGATTAAATCTCTTAAACACGTGAATGATTCATGTAAGGGAATTGATATATTTATATTGTATCATTTGCATTTTTATACGTGCATAGGAAGACGTTGAATCACTTCCCTATAAATCAAGTAAATAGTTTATATAAATGAATTCACAGTGATATAACAAAGAAATGTAACTAATTGGAATGTGTTAAAGAGTAAGTTTTGTATATCTTGTAAATTGTTTACACATAGGAATTCAGAACTTTATGTAGCAGTGATAGCACCATCCACGTTTTGCTTTGTAAAGAAAAATTGGTTGAAAGACGGTTAGGATTGATTAGCGCACATTCTTGTTATTAAAATCACATGACTAACATTATCATAAAGGAATTCATATATTGATTTATATCGTGCCGCCCACATTTACATCTCTAAATCACGTGTACGGTTTACATAATGAAATACAGTTTTGGAACTTGAATACAATTTCGATATTTGATCTGTTGTTTTATATTGGGTTTACATAAAGCTTTGACTTTTCAACAGATTGTAAAACTGCGAGTTGACTTTTCTACAGATTGTAACACTGCGAGTTAAACTGAAATGTGATCTTCAACCTTTGAAACATGTAAGAAAAATCATATGTGAGATGTTCTAAATAAGTGGCTTCATTCATACTTCCTCCGTTCCTAATTAGATGACATGTTTCTTTTATCACGTTTGCCAACGCACAATTTTTATATTAATAAAACATACATTAAGACGATTCAAACAAGATCCCACATATCTCAAAGTCTTGAGATCATTTTCAAGGCAGAATAAACTGATTCACTTTTTAAAAACGAGACTTGAAATTGCAGCACAAAATATTGAACTTAAAACGGTTTATGTTTAACAAAAACATCATTTAATCATAGCATAGTACGCTACAAATTCTGATTAATTCACTTAAACTAATCAAGTTTAAACAGCACATACTATAGTCCTACAAGACACATACTCCGAGTAGCAATACAGATCTTCTCACTAGACACAACATCCTTCACCATCAGCAAGCAGTATGCACTTGGTATTAGTCTTCACCGTAACTAGAAACCTATTTCCTACATTCAAAGTAAAGGATTAGTGAGTTA